TTAATAATCAGTTAACCACAATCCTAATTATTTGAGTTTACGTTATCCTAATATGAAGATTAATTATTATATGAACTGAATTAAATTGCAAGTATATGAATCATGTGTAGACTGAAAAGAGTGTATTACAGGATTATTCTGACGAGGATTGACTTGGGACAACCTATTTGTATTATTAGTTAGTTAGCCAATTTAACATAAATTTTGACTAATCTAAGATGAATATTAAAGAGTGAAAGAAAGAATTTTACATGAATCCGAAGGGAAGGTGGTCGACCACGCTCTGGTTTACAAGAGGCCGACCACTTTTACCAGTGGCATTCTCTATCTTGTTTGTCAGGTTGAGAACCCTAAGTTTTAGAATATTGTTTCAAGCAATTTCACAGTAAAGTTTTTGAAACTCTATGAGTGCACAGTGTTTGTTATCTTGACTTTCACAGTAGTTGACGAATGACAATTGTCTTGATTTGACCTTACAGATGGAACTATGTGTCATGCTTTTGGAATGTTGCAGTCAGGAGAGAACCTACCTCCGTTATTATGGTCTGTTGGGGCAGAGATTCTGTATGATCAACAAAGTCCACCAGGAAAATTTTGAGAAATGCTTTGTCCAGCAGTATTCCATGATCCACCGGCTTGAAACAAATAAGCTACGTAATGTTGCGAAGTTTTTCGCCCATTTACTCGGCACAGATGCCCTTCCCTGGCACGTGTTAGCCTATATACGATTGACGGAAGAGGACACTACTTCATCTTCTCGTATTTTTATCAAGATCCTTTTCCAGGTAACAAAGGGGAAATTTTGTTGTTGTACAATTTCTGTTCGGTTTTTTAGGACTTTAATTGCTTGTTACAATGTTGGCAGCTCTGTATCCGCTTATGAGATGGTTCAACTTAAATTTGATCATAAAGTTTAACCTAAGATGTGATATGTTGTGGGTATGCTGACAATTTTTAGTTACTGCTGCCTCTGAATAAATCCTTCACTTTTAAACATTTTGTAACTCATTGGGAGCATTGACAGATCTGATTGGGAAGAAGAAGAGTAAAAGATTAGCAGATAAATGTGGGTTAGTTGAGAATAGTTCTGAATCACAATTACATCTGATAGGTTGGGGTGGGTGGGGGTATACCTGGCGTTCATTAGTGACCTCTGCCTCTGAATAAATGCTTGCCTATGTAACGGCCTTTTGTTTTTTGTATACCATGAGAGGTGGAACGTAGGCTCATGTTTTTGCCTTTAATATCTCGAAACTCAATGCATTAAAATATCATTACCAACCAAATTTAAGCCTTTTTTCTTTGGCTAATTTCTGGTGTTAAGATTTACTTCACAGGTCTGAAGATGATTTCTTAGAGAATGTTGATGTACAGTTCGTACAAATTTGTAATTTGTTATTGTTTCTGGTGTGCAGGAATTGTCAGAACATCTTGGCATCCGTTTGTTAAATGAGCGGCTCACTGATCCTTCAATGCAGGATTCTTATGATTCTATTTTCCCAAAGGATAATCCCAAGAACACTCGTTTTGCCATTAATTTTTTCACATCCATTGGGCTTGGTGGCATCACTGAGAACCTGCGTGAGTACTTGAAGCATATGCCACGACTCATCATGCAACAACAAAAAGCAGTGTCAGACTCAGAATCTGAGAGTTCAGGTTCATCCGATTCGGACTCTGAGTCTGAATCAGAACCAACAAGCTCTGATGAAAGTGACAGTGATAGTGACGGACGGCACAAGAAGCGTAGGAGTGAAAGTGATAGGAAGGAAAGACACAAGAGGCGTAGGAGAGATTAAGTTCTTTTACTGCCTTGGAAATACATATCATGATGTTCTCAATGAAACACAAGAATTTTTCGTTGATTTTCCAAGTTATGGGAGAAAATGAGTGGGACAAATATGTTGTAACTCTACGAGTCTGTTCACTGTATAACACCAGTTGAAATTTTTGCAGTTCTAAGTCATTGTAGTCATTAAGCATGTTCACAATATTTTGGTTTCTGCTAGAGTACATTGTTTGAGCGGTGGTTTCCAATTTTGGTGTTCTTTGGGGAATGCTTTTAGGTTCTCTTTTGTTCATCGTGCTGCTTCTTCTTCTTCTGCTTCCTTATTTGTATTAAGAAGTCCGTTTGGGTTTTGGGCCTTCGCCCATTGTGTATTATAACTTTGAATCTTGGAGATGCAGTAAAGAAGGATAGATCTTCACCTTATTATTAAAGTATGAAGTTTGAGTAACAAAATAATATCATGAAGCATGACGTAGATTAGAAGAATGTTAAATGAAATCAAAAAATTTGACACAAAAACAAATTAACACATGAAAATTAGAATTTACATCACACCATTGAAGGAAAAACTGCATTTACATTTACCGGAGATGAAAATGAGACCTCTCTCTCCTGGACTGGACATGCTCACAGGCCAAGTTTGCATCTTGATATCCCTGTGGGGACAGCCTTGTTGGTAAGTTGTGACTTGAAAGTGAGCCAGAACACACAACAATCATCACAATGTGCTGCTGCCTGCCTTTCAAGTTACTTCACAGTTTCAGCTTTGGCTCAAAATTGACCACAGCTTTAGACTTCCGGCACTTCTGCGTCACTTCATATCGATGGAATTACGAAGAAGCTCACTTCTGCAATAATATCTTCTTGAATCTTTATGTCGTGCATAATTTTAAGCCTTGTATTGTATATCCAATTTCGAATAATTGGTCCTCTATTGTAGATTGTGGCTATTTCCATCTAATCACAAAATGACCAAGTTCTAGAGGTCCTTGTGTTTATTAGTGAAAGCTACTGGATGTAGAAAACTTGAGAGAGACCTGTGAGAGCTACAGCTACTGCCCTATATTCTTTAACTTCGTCTTAAAAAGCAGAGATTTTTGCTCATAAACCATCTTGCCCTTTGAGTATTGAATGATCCCAACTTGGCTATTTGTCAGCAGTTCAAATTTATTTGTATGAAAACAATGGGAACCAACCACTTAACCATTTTTAAAGTTATTTTTTCATGACCCACACAGCCTTGTAACTTGTAAGCAATGTCAAAGCCAAAATGCAAGTAACAAAATATCTGCCTGCAGTTAATTATAAGCAAAATTAGTGAATGTAAGTATAACCTGCATGACGAGCTGTCACACCTGACAGGCAGGCTTTGCCTTGTGCCGTGCCTCATGATCTCTTGATTTTTCGTGTTTTCTGTATTTGTGAATCTAAAATCAAGAAAGTCTGCAGCATTGGCAACAAACAACCAATAAGACCTCTTGCTCCAATTAGAAAGACAATATTATAATTTAATACTAAACTTCACTTATTTTCACCTAAACCAAACCAGAAGGACTTTTTTTCTGTTGCTTTTTTATTTGAAGGAGGCATACTGTTTTGCAAATTGTTAGCAGATGAGGGGAATCTTTGTGCAACTTGTGCCATTCCTTTTAGCAGGAAAATGTCAAAAGACATGTATAGTTTGGCCGTGCATGCTGCATATATGTGAAAACAACAAAATTTGGTGAGCACATATGTCCCACCACATGCAAGAAGAGCCAGTCGAAATGAATTTGGTGTGACTTTGAGCTCATTGTGATTCTTTCTACGCAATCACAGATCAATAAAAACCAGATTAAAATTTCATAAATGGCTGTGATGACATCAAATTGTCTTGCTTTGCCCTTTTGGGAAGACAGTCAAAGATTTGTTTTATTGTTCAGATTGCATTCATCCATTTAACTCATCCCAAAAATAAAAATAAAAAAAAGGTCACATGATGCTCTCACGGTTGGGGTTGTTCCAGTGGGAAAACCCAGTACATAGTTTTTTCCAAGAATCAAATTGTTTGTAGCCTGTTTCTTCAACTAGAGGACAAACACAAAAAATTGCCAACCAAAGAGGACAAATACAAAAAATGGAAAGGAAACTTGTATCACAGGTTCACAATGCTTTGCACTGAAATGAATGATTGAAGATGAATCCCAGTCAAAGTGACTCACCAGATATTCATGTAACTTCGATGCTTCGCTTTCGGACTAGGGTAAGGGTAGAACCAGAAATTTTTTAATGGGTGGGCTAACAAAAGTTATTAGCTTAAAATCTAATGATAATTTTTTTTTTTTACACTTCCATTTTCTATTGTTTTTCTAGAAATAAAAGTATACATTAAATCATATAAATCATGCTAATTATAAACACAAGAAAAAAAAATAGAGCCATATTATTCACGAAAGGGTGAATTTCATTTTATAAAGATGTTTCTCTTTTGGAGACAAATTAATAGAAATTTTTTAAAATTGATGTTGGGACAAACTTTGACACCAAATACAAATGTGAAAGACCTTAGACTATGCCTATTGATGTTGAAATTGTATATATTTTTATTTATTTATAGTTAAAATATTAGGCTATGTGTAAATCTAATTTGTTTTTTTCCCAAATCTTCACTGGGCTACAGCCAGGGCAGCCCTTGCTTTTGTTCTGTTCTTGAACTAGGGATGCTTAAACAAATGTAACTATAACACCGTCCCGTGATGTTATTAATTTAAAAAGAAAAAGAAAAAGTGTCCAGCCAAGTTTGGCAAAAGGGTGGGCTCTTTCTCTTGATCGTGTGATGTGATGTAAAAGAGGAAGCAACATTGTTTGGAATTAGTCATAAATTCTTGGAGGTTGTTAATACAGCTGTAAAGATGAAAGAGAATGGCAATACAATTTGTTCAAACGTAGCTACCAATTTGAAATTATCTTAATCCACATGGAGACATGTGGTGTGGCTCAATGTTTAGATATTACTTAGTTTGGAACTATGTGCAGGATTAATAATTATAATTAAGACAATGTTGCTTTACCTGAAAGATGATAAAAAATTTGGAATTCAAAAGGAATTTGAGTTTGCGTTTCCATCCAAAACTATCAAAACTTTTGGTATATTCTGAATAACAATCGCTTGACTAAGCATCAATTACAATTAAATTTAAAGAAAATAAAAACAGAAAGAAAAAGTTCAAATGTTAGAAATTTCAGTTAAAATGGAGCGAAAAGAAGGCCATTTGTTGGAGGGATATAAGGAGATAATCAAACACAAATAATGGCATCGGGGTCGTCTTGGTTTGGTGCTGTATGCCTTTCTTCTTGGATTCAGATGGCCTCAACCTCAACCCCCAAAACCTCGCTTGGTCAAACCCCTCCTCAAAACACGACACCATATCCGTGATCCTCACCTCTCTCTCTCTCTCTTTCTCTCTCTCTCTCTTTAGTCATAGCTTGTAGATAGACATGGCAAATCAGATTCTGTGGAATTATTGCTCTGTAGATATTATAAATAAACTTCACGCAAAAACCATTCTTTGCTTTCAAGAGATGGTTTCGGATATCCCTTGCTATCTTGGACTCTAGCTTCTCTGCTCGTGTGTATAAATATAGGCCCCTCACTCTCAGTCTCAGTCTCTCACTCCCACATGTGCTTCTGCCTTTAACTTTTTCTTGGTCTCTCTTCCTTTATACACTTGTTAATTCAATTTATACTCAGAATATGTGTTTTCGATCACGTTCCTCCCAAGGTCACTGAAATTGGAATTCCCTGTCTTCAGGGTTTTGCCAAAAATAGATGCTTTGATTTTATTTACTTGAAATTTGAGGTCAAACTGATTGTTTTCTGTGCTCTGTTCTCTGTTCTTATGGAGCTTTGTCACTTTGATGAGATTTTCTTTGTTGGGTTTTGTTAAAAATTGAACCTTTTGATTTTTGGCAGTTGAATGTGAAGTTGCGAACTGCATTTGACTGCTTAGTGGTTTGTTGGTATTTACTTGCTTTCAATCACATTTGGGTAACTTTTAATCTGGAATTTTTTTATTTTTTTTTTTTTCATAATGAAAATGAAGGTCTTTCTGTCTATTGATTTATTAGCGGTGTTTATAATCATTTTTCTATGTGGTTTTTCTCTGGGTAAGGAGTGTACCAACATTCCTACTCAGCTCTCATCACATAGTTTTCGACATGAGCTTTTATCTTCCCACAATAAAACATGGAAGGAAGAGATGTTCTCATACTACCACTTGATACCAACCGATGATTCTGCGTGGATGAATTTGCTTCCAAGAAAGATACTGAGGGAAGAAGATGAAAATGAATGGGCAATGATGTACAGGAAAATGAAAATTCCAAATGGTTTTGAGGCCTCTGGAGGCTTTCTTAAGGAAGTGTCATTGCATGATGTGAGGTTGGATCCAACTTCACAACATGGACGGGCACAGCAAACAAATTTGGAGTACCTATTGATGTTAGACTCAGATAGTTTACTTTGGAGCTTTCGGAAGACAGCAGGTTTACCAACAATTGGGACACCATATAAGGGGTGGGAGGAGCCGACTGGTGAGCTTCGAGGTCATTTTGTAGGTCAGTGTTATTTGTTAACTCGTTCTTTTTGTTTTCTTTGTTGAAATTGTTAATCTTGATGATCACAGTGTTTGTGTAATTTCTCTGTTGTCGCATAGTACTACATTTCTACATTCGTATTGTCTTCTCGTGCTTTATAAAATGGGAGTACGATTTTATTAAAGCTAATTTCATTTCTGTTAATCTTTGTGAGACTGCCATAAATGGAAGGCACTTATGGAAGTGCCCCTTCCATCTTAGTTTGGAGAACACTTGCACATTGTTGGGATTATTGTGAAGAATGAATAATATATATGATACAAATGCATACATTTCCTCCGCATTCTCCTTTCTTTCCAGACAATGGTGTGGAAAGGTCTAGTATCTGTCACTAGTTCTCAAATTTCATGGCGCCATGGTACTCCCCTTTACAGCAAAGGGCTTACCTTCAATTGCAATTTTAATTTATAATATTCAGCTTGTATTTGTATGGTGATGTATAACAAACAGCTTGCTTTTGTATTTTGAAGGGCATTACTTGAGTGCATCAGCACTAATGTGGGCTAGCACTCACAACAATACCCTCAAAGATAAAATGTCTGCAATAGTGGACAATCTATATCTTTGTCAGAAGAAAATTGGCAGTGGATATCTTTCTGCTTTTCCGTCTGAGCAATTTGATCGATTTGAAGCTATTAAGCCTGTCTGGGCTCCTTATTACACCATTCACAAGGTAGAATATTCTTAATTTGTTTCACTAGAGCAATTACTTCATTTTGACTCAAAGGGTCATGATTAGCTTTTCCACTTTTCTACTTTGACAGATCTTGGCAGGCCTATTGGATCAATATACATATGGTGAAAATACTCAAGCTTTAAAAATGGTGACATGGATGGTCGATTACTTTTACAACCGTGTTCAGAATGTAATTTCAAAGTACAGCGTAGAAAGACATTATCTGTCACTTAATGAAGAAACCGGTGGCATGAATGATGTTCTTTATAAGTTATATGTTATCACAGTAAGTAAGATTACCTACAAAATACCTTTTGCTCTTCCTCCAGATCATTCACTTTACTTGCGCACAGTTAGTTTGCCTGTTCAGCATTAGTAGGAAGTACCATTCATAGTTGTCATGACCTTTCTTTAAAAGTATGCATTTGGGGAAATGGAACTACCCATGTGTGTCATATGGCTCATTTAAAAAGTATTAAAATGAGGACATGAGAAGTTCACCTTGTATGGTGTAAATGGCCGTAACCTAATCATTATAGGTTTTAATTGATTTTTCTATTTTTCTCTGTGGTTCAGTAAGTCCCTGGCACCATCTTAGGACTCTAGTGTGTGTGTGTGTGTGTGTGTGTGTGTGAAGTACTTACAATATTGTGGACATCAGGGTTGTGGTATTAACAACTCTTTTTTACTATGCTTAGAGAGATACGAAGCATTTGTTGTGTGTGTGTGTGTGTGTGTGTGTGTGTGTGTGAAGTACTTACAATATTGTGGACGTCAGGGTTGTGGTATTAACAATTCTTTTTTACTATGCTTAGAAAGATACGAAGCATTTGTTGTTGGCTCATCTTTTTGACAAACCATGCTTTCTAGGATTGCTGGCAGTGCAGGTAACCATCATTTTCTGTTCAATACTTATAGTTAGGTTTCTTACAAATTTTATCTTCCTTTCTCTTCCGTGAGTAGACATATAACAAACGCCAATTGGAAATCAGTATACTCTTTGCGAACAAATATTGCTCCAAACATCGTTGCTTGTATATGCTGGAAGAAATAAAACGAGTCTCCAGTCCTGAAATTTGGACTTTTTTGCTTTAGATAATGTCATATGCTATAAGTCAAGACAATTCCATGTTTGTTAAAATCTGGTTCAAACTACCTCATGGTCTAATGAGTGCACCAACTGTCTGAGGTTGCAGGAATAAGCCCTGCATTGGTCCTTTGTATTAGATGATGAGTATAAATGTAATCACCCAGATAGCACTGTTATATACTTCTGATTAGCTAACAAATGGGGCAGTAACTTTGAGAAGTGAACAGAAAGAAAGCTAAAGTCGTTGACACATTTGTTTTGAGGTCAAAGTTTAATGTTTCATGTGTTGTCCTGATACATAGATGTAAGTTTTTTTCTGAGAGATGAATGCTGTAGTATGCAGGGTACTGAAAACAGGTAGACATAATATGCAATATCCAAAAAGTACTTAATGGATATATAAAGACAGAAAGAAAAATTTGTACTTCTAACTTAACAAAGACAAGCTCCAAATTTGGTAAGCTGTTTTATACTTCGTAGGCAATGTACATTTGGGACTTTAGCATACGACCATAATCTAAATGGTAGGGAACTGATTCACTGGTTCTGGCTTTTTCAGTCTCTTTCTATAGTTAGGACAGTTCAATTTCTAGGTTCTATGAACCTTATCTCTTGGAACCCCTCTCATCAAGTAGTTCTTTTTGGTAGGCTGACGACATATCTGGTTTTCACGCTAACACGCATATCCCAATTGTTATTGGTTCTCAAATGCGATATGAAGTCACTGGTGATCCACTTTATAAGGTAAATGATTTGTCTATATTATATAGCATCTGAACTACAATTCTCAACAAAGCCTGATATCCTCTCTACTGTTTATGTATGAGCTTAACAAATAGGCTTTTTCCCCTTGCACTCCATGTGTGCTTGTAAGGATGTTACTTCTCTTTTTAAAATGGTTTGCACTTGCATTTTTAATTCCTATTTTTAATCTTTAGATTACCATCTTGTCTATTTCCTTATTCAGTGACTACATCACTGGTACTTTTTAATTTCACTGAAGGCTTATGCTATTAGAGAAGCGTTTTTTATTCTAACATTTTTAACAAATCTGGAATTGTCAGGAAATGGGGATTTTCTTTATGAACATTGTTAACTCTTCCCACAGCTATGCAACAGGAGGGACATCAGTCAGTGAGTTCTGGTACTAAAATTAAGCTTACTAAAGTTTTGGTTTCAGTTCATTCGTAATAAGCTCTTCTTTTTGCTTGAAAAGTCTAGATGCATCCCTTTATCTGGTTATGGCTAGTTTCTTTTGGACTTGTTTCTTAACCAGAAGTGTTATGATCTGCTTTCCTCAACTTGTGAGCAGGTCAGACCCTAAAAGATTGGCAAGCACTCTACAAACAGAGAATGAGGAGTCGTGCACGACTTATAACATGTTGAAGGTATGCCTGTTGTTATTGTTCTCAAGGCTGCTGTTGGATTTTTTCAAAGTTGTGTAGGAAGTTGATTGATTGCTTTTAATATCTATTAATTTCATAAAGCAAGACCCCGGTGTCACCCTTCCTCCTACTGATACTTATCTTATATAATACATGATATCTGTTGGTTTTTAGTTTACTGTTGAAAGAGGTACAACTATGGGAAGTCTACACACACACGCGCACACACACAAAGGCAGTGCAAAACTTCATCATTCACTTTATAGTTTTCATGTTATTTACCATAAAGGCCCAGGTGATTTGGCACACACACGCGCACACACACAAAGGCAGTGCAAAACTTCATCATTCACTTTATAGTTTTCATGTTATTTACCATAAAGGCCCAGGTGATTCGGCAACTTTAGCACATCTCAATCATCTTGTAGGTCTCTCGCCACCTGTTTAAATGGACCAAAGAAACAGCATATGCGGATTATTATGAACGAGCTCTGACAAATGGTGTGCTAAGCATCCAAAGAGGGACAGAGCCTGGAGTCATGATTTACATGCTCCCACTTGGTCGTGGAGATTCCAAGGCCAGAAGCTACCATGGTTGGGGAAAACCATTTGAGTCGTTCTGGTGCTGCTATGGCACTGGTACGAGATTGCTTGGGACTGCTTGTCCTTTTTAACTTTCTTTTCAGGGAATTTCAGCCTTTTTTTTTAAACTTTCATGATCTATATATCGTAATGATGTGCTTTCTCACTTTCAATTTGATATGATTCAAGCAAAATCATTTAGACTGTGATTCCTCTTGTTTCTGTTATAGGTACTGCGTAATAACCATCAGTTATGTGTCTCTTCTTAATGCTTTTGTAGGAATTGAATCATTCTCAAAGTTAGCAGATTCCATATATTTTGAAGAGGGAGGAGAAGTTCCTGGTCTTTACATTATCCAGTATATATCAAGCTTGCTTGATTGGAAATCTGGACAAATTGTGCTTAATCAGACAGTTGATCAAGTCAATTCATGGGATCCTTACCTTAGAGTCACATTGACATTTTCTTCAAAGGAGGTATACATACATTGACATTGGCATTAACATTATCATATGACTCACTTATTTCAGTGTTGACAATTCTTCTTTTCTGCATCTGCTTCCTTAGTCTTTCAGTTTCAACTGTGTTTCTACCTTGTTTTCTGTAATATGTAGGACACTTCTTATAATAATGTTGTGTGAAACACTTGCAAGGACGTCACCGTACACACATCCTCCTTTGTTTGACACTCATTTAGAAACCTGTAAAAGAGTTCACCCTTGTCTACTTATTAGTTGTGTATTATTTTTGGCCTGCATGTGAGCTGTGCATTTTGGTATAGACATACACGTGCATGTTTTCAGTATATAGATTCACCAAAACAAACGCATATAGTGTCTTTTGTCTCTAGACATGAGAGTTGTCTTGTGTCCTTTCTGTGCCTAACATAGATCTTTATAATGGATTTAAATGATGCAGGGGACAGGCAAATCATCTACCTTGAACTTGCGAATGCCTATTTGGACTGCTTCAAATGGTGCAAAAGCAGCATTGAATGGTCAAAGTCTGAGTGTACCAGCTCCAGGTGTGAGATAACTCGCAGTTTCCTCTCTATTTCTGCAGTTGCATTTCTGATCCTCTTTGCTGTGTTTTTTAGGCGCAAACTATAGGCTTAACTGATATTATTTTCCTATTTCTGATGCAGGTAGTTTCCTATCTGTCACAAGCAAATGGAGTTCTGGTGACACTTTGACCCTTCAGCTACCCATTAGTCTAAGAACAGAGGCTATTCAAGGTACTTTTGTTAAAAATCCATTTCAACAAGTATATACATCTGCCACTCCCTAGGATACATGGCTTTATCAATAAGCAAAAGATTTGTTTTGTGAATGATATATAACTGACATTTGAACAAAATTCAGATGATCGGCCTGAGTATGCTTCAATTCAAGCAATTCTTTATGGTCCATATCTGCTTGCGGCTCATACCAGCGGTAACTGGGACATTAAAACTGGCTCAGCTAAAACCGTTGCCGACTGGATAACTCCAATCCCTTCTTCATACAATAATTTTTTGGTTTCCTTCTCCCAAGAATATGGAAACTCAAAATTTGTCATAGCTGTCGTAAACCAATCAATTTCATTGGACGTCTTTCCTGAAACTGGCACTGACGCTTCTGCTCATGCCACTTTCAGACTCATTTTAAACGACTTGTCCACAAAGCTCTCTACAGTGAATGATGCTATTGGCAAATCAGTCATTCTAGAACTGTTTAATCTTCCAGGAAAGGTTTTAGTGCAGCAAGGGAAAGACAAGAATCTTGGGATAGCAGATATGTCCAGTAGTAAGGACTCTTCAGTTTTCCATTTGGTTCCAGGTTTGGATGGAAAGAACACAGTATCCTTAGAGTCAGAAAGCTTCAAAGGTTGCTTTGTGTACAGTGAAAAAATTGAGGCACTGGCAGGCTTGAAGCTCGTCTGCAGTCCAGAGTCATCGGATGCTGGATTCAACCAGGCAGCCAGCTTCGTAAAGAGTAATGGAATAAGCCAGCATCATCCTATCAGCTTTGTGGCTAAAGGAGCAACAAGGAGCTTTCTTCTAGCACCATTGTCAAGCTTCAGTGATGAATCTTACACTGCTTATCTCAACATTACAGCCTGATAAGTAGGGACAGGATTGTGGAAACCGGAACGAATCTATTTGATATCAAACTATTTATGATAGTTTTTATTTTTCTCAGAGTGGCAGCCGTTACTTCAAATCCCTTAATTGCTTTTGCAGATAGGGATCTTATTTAGAAATCCCAGAGTAGTGTTCATCTTGTATATTCATCTTCTGCATGATTTCTGAGGTTCCTGTTGTTATTAGTATCCATGCTAATATGCTACAAAGAAAGAATTGCTGTAGCTACATCGAAGAACTTAAAAATCAATGTAGTCAGCAATAAGAAAAGTCTGCAGAAACACAGGAAGAAGAACAACCCAGATAGTTCTAGCAGCAAAATAGCAACAGAGACCGAATCAAAATATTTGACTGACACCAAAATATAAATAAAACATAATACAAAATTCTCAGTTCCATAAGCAAAAGTAGAAGATCCTCCATTTTAGTCAGTATCAACATCTGAGGCCTTCTTCGGAATGACTGCACCTTCTGCACTTTCACGTACTTAAGACTTTTACCTGTTCCAATGTTTAAAAATGAAGCAAAAAACAAAAATAGATCAAATCCCCTGTAACTGCATCATCATACATACACACAATGCATATACAGTAAAAATTCATAAACATGCAACTACCTGGTGAAGTTTTCAAACATGACTGAATAAGTAATCAGTTAACGAAACTTACAGAAAAAGGCACCCTCCAGGTCTACTTTATTGGTCCTAGATTCAGATGACTGGTCATTTATAATCATGGAAGCAGGATGCAAGATTTTGAAGGCTAAGGTATGTGTGCCCTCGACAATTTCAAATTCGAAAATCATGACATAAGTATGCATCCTCTCCATCTCCTCATCCTCAAACTCATCCCCTCTGTCTACGGATATAATAAGGCAGATTTCTCGACCTTGTAGATGAACCAATTTATACTCTACACCACGCACAGGTAAAGGTTTAAATCAAGTTCAAAAGGTGTCAGTAATGTGTAGTCCTTGGACATCAAATGGGCAGTTATAAAAGTACTCTTCCATTCATAATGACGATAATGAGGAGGATCATTGTACCTGTCAACAACATCTAAATGTGGCCTACAACTCAAAATCACCCAATCTCCATCCCCATCCCCACGGAAAGGCTATAATGAGGGCTTAAAGTGAGGAGGTTATTTGAGGAGGTCAAATCTCACCATCAACAAATGTAAAGAAATCATGGGACTTAAATATTTTAAATGTTTTAACGGTCGGATCGGTCTCCTCAAATAACCTCCTCACTTTAACTCCTCATTGTAGAAACTCCCCCCATCCCCATCCTCATCCCCATATTCTACGGTTAAAGTTTGGCCCATACATTCCCAGGGCAATTCAGAGCAGTTGGTAAAATTGTGCTCTCTCCATTTTGGGCTGGGGTCAGCCATGTTAAAGCATAATACAGGCCCAAGTGAAGGCCTAACAAAAATATATGAGCCCACAACTACACGAAAGAGAAAACGAGTACTTTTATGCCAGAAGCGGACGAGACTTCCCTTGTTGGAGGGAATTGTTGTTGAAGACTTGGCAGGTGTAGGGATGTTTAGTGTCAAAAGCGTAAATGTCTTTACGTGGATATGTTGTGAAATCACCGCCACGACAGTCGAATCTGCTTTTAACGCCGCGAGAAAAACAATGTTTGATCCGAAAAGATTGCAACCCATACGAAGGGGAAGCCCTTCACCATGTATATATGCTAGTTCTTTGGCCTTTAAGGTCTAGACCGGAGGGAAAGAATGCAAGCGTAGCGCTTGAATAGAGTACCAAACCTGATTACCAGCCATATATTCGCCAAAACATAAATACAGAATTTTTGGAGTGCTCATCCCATGTGGCGATGGAGGAGCATGCAATTGGTTTAGGGTTTAGGGTTTAGGGTTTCGCCAAAACATAAATACAGAATTTTTGGAGTGCTCATCCCATGTGGCGATGGAGGAGCATGCAATTGGTCTCTAATCACCAACTTCCCCAACGAAACTGAGTCGGATCCGCCATAAAAAAGCGTTAAGCTCCTGCTCCTCTGCCTCCCGATCATCCGCATCCATCAGCTCCTCCTCCTCCTCCTCCAACGACCAATTGGATTCGACATATAATCCCTCATACTCATGCTTAGTATCCACATATTGCGGGATAGGAGAACCCAACACCCAATTGGATCCGCAATAATAAGCTTCTTTAAGCTTCTGCTCCAGAGTCTCCGTGTGTCCGAGGTCAAAATCGTCAGACATCCAATTGGATTCAGGGGAAGAACTATCGTCCTTATGCTCAATATACACTTCTTTACCCTTAGTAGGCGGGATAGGGTGATCCAACGACCCGTCATGAAAAGCTTCTTTACTCTTCTGCTCCTCCTTATCATCGCCTAGCATAGGCTCCTCCATACAGGGTAGTTTAATCGTCAGCCTCGGCCCCTTATGCTCCTCTATATGCCTCTTCCGTTTCTCCGTATGGGGATGTCGGGGGACCCATGCATCGAGCGGTAGGTAAAACCTCTTGTCCTCCATATGCATAATAGACGAGCGACGGCGATCCTTCATCTTCTTCCGTTCCTCCTCATCCAGCTGCCACTGTGGCCCAAGGTTTCCGATGTCTAACGCTTCTTCATTACGCTTCTCCATCCGCCTTCTAATTTTCTTTTAGGGGAAAACAGAGAACGATCGGGAGGGAGAGAGAGCCAAGGATAGAGAACTGGAGAGAGAAGGAGTGAGAACCAGAGAACTTGGGAGGGAGATAGAGAAACGGAGAGAAAATGAGAGATGTGATTTGGGTGGGTTTTGAATACACAGGAAAAAAGAAGGTGCCGGGGCGTAAGAAGAAAGAAGACAGAAACGAAGATAAGAAAATATGGTTTACTTATTAGTTTGTTTTGTTTGGGGTTTTTCTCCCTTTCTCACCAAAAAAGATAAGAGAATAAACAGTGGTGGTTTGATTTTGGCCAACCCTTCAATAAGGGTCAAATTATATTTCCTTATTACATAAGACATTTCGACAAAAAAAATTTGAATAAGACAAAGTTTCTTTCTTAAAAAAAAGGGACAAAGATTAAATATTAAAAATAAAAAAAAACCTGGAACTCCAACAAAGAAAAGAAGAAAAGCCGGAACCGAGCAACTTGAACAACAGGTTTCATTTAAAAAAAAAAAAAAAAAACTGGGTGTATCGGTACACCAGGTGCACCGTAGAAGGTGCCTTTTTCACTAATATGTGTGTATTTTTTGTTTATACCAAAATGAGCAGCCAATAAACACTTGACACGTGGACCAAGCTGGAGCTATGGGAGCCTTCGGCATCTAGCTTCGGCATCTTACCTACCGATCGCTCTATTAGGGCAACCTTGGCGTCCGGAACACGTGGCAGCCTCACAATCAATGTCCACAGTCCCACATCGAAACTCTAAGCAAAATGCACACCTCCCAAGGCCTATAAAAGAGGGCAACCATCTCAGCTTGGAGGTAATCAATCAGAACTAACGGCATACTGCCTATTGATCTGTAGTTCAAACTTACTAAATATGTACTTACTTAAGCATCGGAGAGCCTTCGGCCGGTATCACACCTAGGATTTACCGAGCGTTTGCTATCTTACAGGTATAACTACTACCGAAGTCATAGCATACCGAAGGTAACAAAATCACAAAGTTACATGGGAAAAGGACAGAACCATTTTTCTGCGTCAACAGTTTGGCGCCATCTGTGGGAAATGATAATAATCAACCTACAAATTCCTAAAAAACGTAATGGGAACCACTTCAGGACCACAGTTCCTATCAGAGGATGGATTACCGTACGGTATGCCAAGTGGAGCAAGCCCCGCGCTGCACCCTAGCACCCCCTTCGGTAATCCCCCAGTGCTTCAAACCACGGTCGAAGCGGAGCTCTTGGCTCAGATGACCTCACTTCGGAAGGAAATGGCTAAGCTCCAAGAACATAATAATCTCCTCTCGTCCAAAGTAGACGACACACAGCGACTGCTTAACCAGCAGGAAACACAGAGCGTACAGGCCGCCGAATCTTCTCAGAGTCTGCCGACCCCCGGTCGGCGAGGAGGGGCGCAAAGGCAACGCCTGCGCCTTCCAAACAGTTGGTGGTCCCAGCTCCACAGGATCAGCCTCACGTGCCGAAGAAGGTGTACACTGATTGTCGTCATCGGATCAACGACAAGAAGGATGCCGAACGGCATAGGTCCCCTATCCAGCTTAATGCCCGCCTGCGGGACTCGCGGATGAAGGTCCTAGGAGACAAGTCGCCCCTCAGAAAGGTCCACGGTTTGGATTCGGGAATGGAATCCGACGATGAGTACGTCCCCACCAAGGGCATCGAATCAGGCTACCGTTCGGAAACTCCCTCGGAGTATTCGAAGGCAAAACCACCAAGTCCGAGGAAAACTTCCGAAGACTTCAGTTCCGAGGAGGTCCCAAGCCGAGACCCCGCTATCCGTCTGCTCTTCCAGAGGATCCAGAAGATGGAGGACGACCAAACCCGGTCCCAAGTCCCTGACTTGGGAAAGCTTCGGCCAGGACCCTTCACCGAGCGCCTCAAGAGGCCCAGGCAGGACAGGGAGGCCGTTGCGTATACCATTTTATACCGGGGTGGAAGACCCTTTGACGCACCTTCACTCCTTCCAATTGGCAGTTGGGTGCAAGGGCCTCAGCGACGAGGGACAATGTCTGCTGTTTCCCTCATCCCTTACCGAAGCTGCCCTGAACTGGTTCTACCGTCTCGAGCCAGGGACAGTAGACTCCTTTGACGAACTGAAGCAGATTTTCCTCAACCACTTTATGATCCAAACGGACCGCCTGTACTCTGCCGATGATCTGTACACGATTCGGCAAAGGGAAGACGAACCCCTACGGGAGTACGCGGCACGTTTCAGTCACGAGTACTCGAGGTGTCCCGAAACAGATGATAGGCAGCCTACGGTGCCTTCAAGAGTGGCCTTCGGTCCTCTCATTTCCGATACCTCGTGCACAGTAGTAACTGGCGTACATATGACGAGTTGATGAAGCATGCGGCAGTTCATGCGAAGGCCGAATATTTCAACTCCAAACCCGGGCCTTCGGCTCGGAAGGAGGAGTCAACGACCAAGAGTTACCCGGGGCGGACCGATGGTTCTTTGGCAGGGAACAAACGGAAGGACGACCATGACGGTCGTCACGAAAACTCGAAGAAGGGGCGTGGGAAATACGGTCGTAACGACCACCGCGCACCACTACCGAATCGCGATCGTGCACAGGACGTC